TATTTGTCATAGTTCCCAGCTCTGTAGGTTTCTAGTGAAACTATTGACACAGAGCTTGATTATCTGAGTCTGTAGTATCAGCAATCCTGATCACAATAGTCACAAAAATGGACTATGAAAAGAAGTTGGAAGAGTCATTACCAGGTCTACTACATATGGTATCACTTGGTAATGGGTCAGGCCCTAGTTACTTGAAACCAATGACTAGGGCTGGACATTTATAACCAGGCGATTCAAACCTTTCCAGCAGGTTACCACATATTAGTTCCAGTGGATCCCAGTACTGACCAGCAATGCAGACTACTTGTATTACAGGAGTATTCCTAAACTAGACAACAGTGTATACAGTCCAGCGAAAGTAGTCACACTTCTGCAGCCACCAGAAACAAGTTAACTATGAGGCTAATGGTGGTCCCTTTCCCAACCAAGTTTCATAGATAAGGTGGCACAACCAAACCTGTTTTTGTGAGGGCAGCAGAATAATGAGCAACTGACAACAAATCATTGAAAAAAAGCTTCATACAAAATAAGGAAATGCATCATTTGGCATAACCTCTGATTGGGGGGGGAGGGGAATCCATCACTCCTGTATTCTCTTTTCTTCTCTCTCTTTCCCTCTCCCTTGCTTGCCCTCTTCTCCCTTTCTGTCTGTATGTCTACCTGTGTGTGTGTGTGTGTGTGTGTGTGTGTGTGTGTGTGTGTGTGTGTGTGTGTGTGTGTGTGTGTGTGTGAGTGTGAGTGTGAGTGTGAGTGTGAGTGTGAGTGTGAGTGTGAGTGTGAGTGTGAGTGTGAGTGTGAGTGTGAGTGTGAGTGTGAGTGTGCATGTGCGAATGTGTGTCTTGCTTCTATTTGCTTTCTCCTTTCCTCTTTTCTTTCTCCTCTCTTCCCCTCACTTCTCTTCATTTTCTCCTTCTCTCTTCCCCTCACTTCTCTTCACTTTATCCTACAAAAGACTACTATTTCTGTACTCAATAGTAATGGTCACTACTGAATCATGGCACTCCCTGCTGAAATGAGGCATGGAACTTACAATAAAAACCAAGGGAATAGAACTTGATTTGTGCTTCTTTCACAACTGCCTTTGCCTTGTGGTGGAAATTAGGCACACACAGAAAAAAAAAAGATTATGAGACTTTACTCTCAAGACTAAAAAAAGGAAAACAGTTGGTGCTCGTATATAATAGTGGGAAAAAGACTGTGAGGTGATATCCTTTGTCCATCTTCTCATTTTACTTAAAAAAAAAAACTTCATTGTCACCTTATCATCAAGCTTCCATCTGAAAACTTGCTTCCAGTTGCCTGAAAATTCAACCAAAATGATTCAACATATACCTCAAAACCAGCCACCACCTCACCTACCTCACAACGCGCTGGGAGTGCCACAATCCATGGTTAACTACCTCTTTCCATAGTTGTCAAAAGTAATTAATGTTGTCAACACATTACAATCTAACATAGCATACCTGAAAGGGAGAAGGTACGATCTAACCAATTAGGGAAAACGGGAGGAATGTCCACCATGTCCTCCCTGGTCTAACGTGAGTCACAATTCCCGTACAAAGAGAATAACTGGCCTAAAAGCAAATGGGCATGCTGAGCTTCCCTTCCTCTATCCCCTGGGAACGCAGCCTAATATCTCTCTACGAACTATGCAGCCCCCACCACCTCCTCCGTGAAGGCCCAAGCGCATGCACTACAACTCTGGGTTAGTACCTCTCTTTTGCTCACATCCGAAGCTTTCTTAGAGGTCATTTTTGCACGATTCTGAAAAGGGGGACATTCATATGATACATGCAGTTATTCATTAAGGGTTATCAATGAGGTAAATTGAGGCAAGATCCTGCTATCAGTTTTAGTAAACTTCACATGAATATATTAAGTCTGCAACAAAAATGGTGGATAATATGCATCAAATATTTACATATACTTACATACATACATACAGATACTCTCACTCACTCACTCACTCACTCTCACTCTCACTCTCTCTCTCACTCTCTCTCTCTCTCTCTCTCTCTCTCTCTCTCTATATATATATATATATATATATATATATATATATTCTCTTTCACACACACGCACACACACACACACACACACACACACACACACACACACACACACACACACACACACACACACACACACACACACACACACACACGCATATATAAATATATACATATGTACATACATCCATCCATCCATATATATACATATATATACATACATACATACATACATACATACATACACATACAATATATACATTTATATACATATCCATATATACATATTTACATAAATATATATAATATATATACATATGTATACATACATAACTATATATATATCTATACATAACTATATACATATATATACATATATATGTATGTATGCACTGAAATTTATCTAACTTTTGCTTGACTAACAGGTGTTGGCAAACAAAAGTCCTATAAAAAGAAGATTTCACAAAGCAATTACTAACAGTTATCATGGT